TTTTTGGTTGTCACATTGTGGATTGGAGCCTTTTTTTGTTTTGCTGATTTTGTCTGTACCTCGGTTGGTTTGGTCCCGTTGTTCGGGCTATCTTATGGGCGTGGCTGTGTTTTCATGTGGGACCAGCCATTCGGGTTTTTGGCATCCTGGTTGGTTGTTTCCCGTTGTTCGGCCATTTGAGAGGCGGGGCGGTGCCTGTATGTGGGAATCGTCATCCAGGATTGTCTTCTCTTTTTTTCTTGGTTGTCACACTGTGGATCGTCGCTTTTTTATGTCTTGTCCTGGGTGGTCTTGTCCCGTTGTTTGGCCTTTGACGGAGCGGGCGGTGCTTGCATGTGGGACTTGTCATCTGGGATCTGTCTTGTTTCCCTCTGTTCTATTTGTTTCATTTGGCTGATCCCTTCCTCTCCTCTTTGCCTCTTTGCCTTTTGGCTGTGTGCAAGTGGGTCGATATGACACACGGGGGTGGGGGCAGCCGCCGCTCAACCTACATCCACGTGGGCGGCCTTGTACGCAAGAGGATCTGAACAGGGGGAGTTGTAAGGAAGAAGATTAAAAACGAATTTAAGATTAATTTGTTTTTTTGGTTTTTTCGCTTAGGCGCTCTGATATCATGTGACAATATATATATTTGTGACGATATATAAGAGAGAGAGAGAGAGAGAGGAGTGATAGTCTACTTTTATTATTATCGCAGGTACCTCGAGGGCAGTGGTTGGTGCCCACCTCAGCGCATCAGTTGTCGGGCAGTCGTTGATGCGTAACCACAACCGGGGTCAAGGTGGATGATCACTTAGTGTAATCTGTTAGACTCCTGATGAGTCCGTGAAACTTCGGTGAAACATTTTGTCACAGCCCCTCATTTGTTGTCGTCTTCTCCCTCTATGCCGATGGTTATATATATATATATATATATATATATTTGTGACGATATATACTCCCCTCGTTTGTTGTCCTCTTCTCTCTCTCTGCCTACGGTTTACCGGACAGTTCTATTTCTGACGATATATATATATATCTGGTGTGGGTGAGTGATAGTCTTCTTTGATTTTGGTTAAGGTAGATTATCATTTACAGTGTAATCAGTGAGGGGATTCTGCAGATTGTTGAGGGTTCAGCCTCCTGATGAGTCGGTGAAACTCCGACGAAACAGTTTGTCACAGCCCCTCGTTTGTTGTCCTCTTCTCTCTCTCTCTCCGCCTTCGTTTTTTTTTTTGACGATCTATATAGTCATTTTTAACTGCGCGGTGCAACGGAAGCAGCAACATAAATATGCATCTACAACATAAATATGCATCTATATGTATCGTCACAAACAGAACTGCCCGGTAAACCGTAGGCAGAGAGAGAGAAGAGGACAACAAACGAGGGGCTGTGACAAACTGTTTCGTCGGAGTTTCACCGATTCATCAGGAGGCTGAACCCTCAACAGTTTGCAGAATCCCCTCACTGATTACACTGTAAATGATAATGTACCTTAACCAAAATCAAAGTAGACTATCACTCACCCACACCAGATGGAAAATTCTACAGACTGTGGGTTCACACCCCATCACAAGCCAGCAAAACAACCACGAAACAAAGAAAGGTCTGTCACAGCCAAAAAACACTCCAGACACGCCGCTGGCACTAGAGGCACAGCATAGCCGCCTACTAACGGCCCCGACCACTGCCGCTCAACCTGACCGGAAAAAACCGTAGCAGGAAGCTAGCGAAGTCGTAGCATATATCGTCACGAACAGAATTGCCCGGTAAAACGTAGGCATATATACATATTGTGACGATATATATATGACGATATATCGTCACAAACAGAACTGCCCGGTAAACCGTAGGCAGAGAGAGAGAAGAGGACAACAAACGAGGGGCTGTGACAAACTGTGACGATATATATATATATATATGATGATATACAAAACAGTTTGTCACAGCCCCTCGTTTGTTGTCCTCTTCTCTCTCTCTGCCTACAGTTTACCGGGCAATTTTATTTGTGACGATATATATGACGATATATATGACAATATATATATATATATGTCCTCTTCTGTCTCTCTGCCTACGGTTTACCGGGCAGTTCTATTTGTGACGATATATATATATATATACAGACCTTTCTTTGGTTCGTGGGTGTTTTGCTGGCTTGTGATGGGGTGTGAACCGACARTCTGTAGAGTTTTCCATCTGGTGTGGGTGAGTGATAGTCTACTTTGATTTTGGTTAAGGTGGATTATCACTTACAGTGTAATCA